TTCCAGGGAGCATTACTCTGTCTGCGCATGTGCAAGAAACTCATTTCTAGTACATTTACGGGCTTTTCTCGCTTGTGTGTGAACGTTAAATGCGCTTACTTTAATTTCGCAATTAAGGTAATTCCATTTGCAAAATCAAGGTTTATTTTCAGATTCTTTTTGAAATGCTTCATTTCCACTTTATTATCACTTTCTGGCCCACGTGTGATAACGTCCTTAGTCTGCATGCATGGTGAAGAGCCAGGTAGGTACTTGTACTCTCTTACACATTTAACTTATCTAGAGAAGTGCAGTCCCATAATATCTGGAGGACCATGGGATTCCCCACCTCTGGCCATGATCTGATCAGCCAAGGACCTATGGGGCTCATAATAAAAGTCAGGCAAGGTAATTCTGGAACCCTTTCCCACTACTCAATTATACCACAATTCCATTTTAACTGTCAGGCCTGCATCCAATGGAATGCTGGGCATTATAGTTTGTTCTCTAGAGGTGCAGCTAACTTTAAGTACTCCTCCTTGCACTACAAATTCCAGGATTCTACAGGATAGAACCATAGCAGTTGTGGAATTATAGCACTATCATTGTGCTGTATGGAAAGGACCCAGAAGGGATTCCACAGAGTGCTTTGACCTGAGTTAGCTAGAGAAGACCCAAGGAATGAATGGATTAGATGGTGGTTCCAAATGTAGGCAAATCCAATTGCCTCAGTGGGTCTCTTTATTTGAGTGTAGCCACAGAAATCATGTGCAAAAGGAAAAGAAGCAGCACTCCACCCATGCTTTGTTGTTGTATGCCTTCAAGTCATTTCCAATTTATGGCAAACCTAAGGTCAACCTATCAGGGGGTTTTCTTGGCAAGTTTCTTCGGTGGGGTGCCATTGCCATCATCTGAGGCTGAGAAAGTGTGACTTGCCCATAGTAGGTTTCCATGGCTGAGCCAGCATCTGACCCTGATCTCCAGAGTCCTAATCCAATGCTCAAACCGGGAGACCATGCTGGCACTCCATATGCCTCTTATTAAGAGACCATTTTGACACTGCTTTAACTGCCCTGGTGGCGCAGTGGTTAAATGCCTGTACTGCAGCCACTCACTCATAGACCACAAGGTTGCGAGTTCAATACCAGCCAGGGCTGAGGCTCGACTCAGGCCTGCATCCTTCCGAGGTCGCTAAAATGAGTACCCAGCTTGTTGGGGGGCAATCAGCTCACAGTTGTAAACCGCTTAGACATCCCATAGCGCGATATGAAGTGGTATATAAATGAAGCTGCTTTGCCTTTGCTTTGCTTTGCCCTGGCTCCAAGCTATGGAATTCTGGAGGTGGTAGTGGACTGTTTCTATGGGGTGTCCTTTGGCCTTTATATATAGAAAGGCTTGAAAGTAAATCCACCTGTCCCAAAAGTTTATTCACTGTACAACTGTCTGGCTCAGATTTAGTAATGTTTTTGCTGTCCAGAGAAGGAATGAAACTCCTCTTAAAAACTTTTATCTATTCCAAAGATGATAGCATACCATTTCACATAGTAGATAATAACAGAGACATTTATTTTTTGGACTTAAAGAAGGCAGGAGGAGGTCAACTCCTCACCTCTTACTATGAAAAATCACACAGGAGAAAAACAGTAGTTTAAACGCAATTAACCTGTGAAAATTGCATAACTGCCATTAAAACTTGATTAAAATGCAATTAACACAAGAGCCATTATCCCGTGAGTAACCAGGCAATAAACAGCAAAAGGTAATTCATGGGACAATCTGTGAATTAAATGGCACTTTATTCACATTTCATCTCAAGGTTGTGTGGAAACCATTAGTGCAACTGAGGGACTGTCATGGGTCATTCACGGGACAATACCACTTTGAACACGCCGTCGTGTGGAAGCTATTAGCGCAACTGAGGGACTGTCATGGGTCATTCACACAGGACAATACCACTTTGACCACGACGTCGTGTGGAAACCATTAGCGCAACTGCGGGATTGTCACGGGTTATTCACCGTTTATACTTCCAATCGTCCCCGGAGTGATAAACTAGTTGGATAGAGTTCACATATACCTCCACTGTGGAGACTGGAAGGCAACCAACCCACACACACCCCACTCTAGCCTAGAATCCCATATCATGGAGCAGTCAAAGCGCTGCCAAACCGGATTATCTCTCCAATGTGGAAAGAGCTTTAGTGCAGCTAAACAGCTTGAGGTTTAGCAAAGCGCCTCATGGGGGGAAGAGTCAGGGTAGGAACTCCTCCGGGTGTGTCTTGGGCTTTCCTTCCCTCCCTCTTCTCTGTGGAGGGTGTGAGGGAGACTGAGGAGGAAGAGGAGGAGGAGGAGGAGGAGGCCTCCGCCTGCCTGCTCTGCCTCTCAGCTCAAGAGGCAGCCTCCCTCTCCTCCTCAGTCCCCTCCATCCTTCTTCTCTCTCTTCTCTCAGCAGCAGCATCCCAGCCGAGGGAAGGAGGGGGTCGAGCCTCTTCTTCATCTTCTCCTCCTCCTCCTCCTCCTCCTCCTCCT